AACATTGCTCGACTTGTCAATTTGATATGATGTTTCTATCCTTAATAGCAAACCATTTGTGCCTCATTATATGGAGAACTTTTACTTGGAATAGATCCACTCCTAAAATTCCAAAAATGACCTGTTCACCAGACTAAGTATCAATGGCAGTTTTCTTTTTAACTACCAGCTAAAATGTTTGTTAAAAGGTTTCCAAAGAGAAGGAACTATAATTTTCTGGATAAACTGGACCTCCCTTACCAAAGCAAGTACAAAGCCTTTACATGTTGTAAGGCAGCTAAAACGCCACCACTTTTAATATGACAGCAGTTATTAACAATTCCAACAACCTTCAATGATGTTACATGTGACAAAGGATTAATATAAAAAAATAAATTGTTCGTCTATGAAGTTTATTAAAGGCTGTGGTGGAATTGTATTAAAAATAGCAAATGTACAGTCCAAAATCACAATTAATACTGCTAAAATACTTCTGACGTGTCTCTTTCAGGCTGTGAATTTATTTTTCACAGGCTGATACATGAAGCAGGCATGATGGCACATTTCTCATGAGAAGTGTGTTTTGATGTTTGTGTATTTAAGGCAAATTGAGGGGTTTAAGAACCTCATTCCATAGTAAGTTAAACATTAGGTATCCATTGAGGTTAGGGCTGAACATCAGTTAAAAATAGGACAAAGTAATGATCTTCTGCATCTTATTCACAGTGGTCCTCTTGAAGAAGCCCTATTAAATATGCTTTTCAAGAAAGTTACACTTAATTGGGGTAGCTCTTTATAAAAATTCCCACCAGTGTCATTGATCTTCGAAATTACCCAGTAAATGATCAATCACACATAGCCATAATTTTTTTCTGTGAACTTCAAGTTGGTCCAACTAGTCTATTTCTGTAAGGTTTTCCACGTGTAGCCTTCACTCATAAAGGAGTCTGCTGTGCCTTTTTCAATTAATCTGGGCATTTGAAGGTCCATAATCCTGAAAAAATTTTCCGGCTCAGCCCTAAATTCTGTTGTTGTACCTCCATCATTCAGGAAACTCAACGCTAAGAAATGATACCTTGCGTCTGAATGGCAAAAATGTTCAGAGGAGGTGTGCATTCAAGTCGTATTTCTCACAGAACTTGTCATTGATTGGGATGCACGTGAGGTACTCGCACCAGTCGCATTTCACTGGGTAGACGTAGAAGAGCACGACCAGAGCGGCGAGCAGACCCACAAAGATAAAAAGGAAGACGCAGATCTGGACCCGCTTTCGGTACATATCAGAGGGCCCAAAGCTGTTGGTTAAAAAAGAAAAAAAAGAAGTGCTTGAATTATTCACGCAAATTCTTGTTTAACTGAGATCAGAATCTGCTTTCTTTACCTACCTGATGTATGGCAAAAACGCGAATGACAGAAAGAAACCTGAAACAAAACCAAAGATGTGCGCAAAGTTGTCTATCCAAGGGAGCAGACCGAAGGAGAAGAAGAAGATCGAGATGGCTAGCAGCTTAGCGAACGCCCGCCATGGCCGCTCCAGGATCTGCCAGCTCTGAAACAGCTCCACAAACAGACAGGCAAGGATGCCAAACTGGCTGCCTGCAGGACCGACCTGAGGGATGAATGTTTCAATAAATACATTTCTTTTTATAAACATTTATAAAATGTGAGGTTTTTAACATCCATAAAACACACATCCTGTTTAAAGGCGATTTATATACCTCTGCTCTGTAGGGCAGGAAGATGGCAGAGGCCAAGTTACCAGTGATACCGCTTAGCATGTAAATAATAGAGATCCTCAGCCAGCCAGCCAGCTTCTCGATGTCCCTCAGCACCGTCATCTGGAACAGCACAGACACCACGCAGTGCAGAATCCTGAAGACAGGAGACTGAAGGTAAATGCCCAATACTCCTTCTTGATCTTACAAAATTCTGTTTAGTTTTAACTCAACTATCTCTTTTTATATTTAAAATGTTTTTCACCTCTTTACTTCTCGCAGGAATAGATAAAACAACAGACATACTGAGACTGAAAAAAAAAAGAGTTCGGTCACCCAGCATGAAGAAATAGAGACAGCCACAGACGGGAAAACTGATCTGGGATCTCGGGGTTGAGAAAAGGCAACAACCCGCAAACATCATTCATACAGGCCACCTGAGAAGGAGAGATAGAAAGAGAGAGAGGGCAGTCAGGGATTAGCAGTGGGAGCTTTGGATGTGTGGCTCAGCAGTGCAGCGCTGCCATCAAGTGGACAGAAAGGGAGTGTCTGGAAAGATCCAGAAATATTGAAATCTTTTGCCAGTGTGCTTTTCTTTTGTAAGAGTACTTCAGGTACTTAAAGTATAGTAATCCGCAGGGGCCGTGTGGACATTGTGAGTTTTGAGCCTCAACTGAAGCAGCGACATTTGAATGGATGAATTTTAAGGGTCTTACCTGAGAGCAGAGAGTGGCTTCCTCGTGGAAGTAACCCTGCATGAAGTTACAGTACTCTCTGGAAGTGATCTCACACCTGTAAAAAGAAACGAGTGTAATGAGATCGACACGTAACAGTCATATCAAGCTCTGGCCCAAATTTTGCGACTTCGCTGATCTTTACCGTCCTTTGGTCCCGATGCAACAAGGCCGGCCTGTGATGGTGCAGTCTATATGGGGAAGGTTAGTGTGATTTCCGGTGTTATATCTTGTGCAAACCTACACATAAAAAAGACTGTAAGCATCATACAAACTCCCTTGGAACCATTTTTTAATTATCCTCCTTTGTAACCAGCTTTGAGAAGAGCACACACTTCATTTAAAACAATAAACTGAATGCTTGAATCTTTAATATTTCAATGTACTCACTGGCCACTGTGTGATGTCATCTGCCCACTCATGAGGTGGGACTGAGGCTGGCTCCTGGCAAATTCTGTCAAATTCAAAGTAGAAGTGAAAACAAAAAACAAATAAACAAATTAATTTTTCCATATGAAAGAATTGCCAATTCAGCTTTTTGGTGTACCACACAATCACTGTATGTTACCTCGGGTCCTGATGGCAGACTGAACCATGCTGGCGTAATGTTTCATTTAAATAAGGAGCACTGGGGTGATGAGGCCACTTAACCCACACCGCCAGGGTGCTCTGCATTTAAAGTGAGAAAAAACACCTGAATTCAATGAATGCTGAGCCATACTTAGTTTTTTAGATGACGTTTCATGCAAAATAGATCAATGAAAAATAGCATAAGTCAACTGTCTTAGCCAGCCGTCTAAAATCCAACTTAATTCTTACTGACCGAGCACTCCTCTTGTAACGTCTGCAGACAGCCCGAGCGGTCGTTTCTCACGCAGCAGCCAGATTCTCTCTCCTTTGCTTTCTTCTCCTGGATCAGTTTGTGGATCTCTTCGTCTTGCCGCATGCAAGGAGAAAACTTGGCTCCCAGATGAATCAGTGCCTCCTGTTGGACATGGACACAATTGTTTCTTACCCTAAACATCTAGCTACATGAGTCCATGTTTCTCCACTAACAATTCTTAGCATTCTCAGCTACTTAGAATTCTAAGTAGCATTCATACAGAAATCACACATAGTATTTCTAAATATTTAAACATTGTTTATTTTAAACTCATTATCTGTATTTCTCTCCTCAGTATCTTTTTAAATACTTTTTTGCAACATCTTTACCAAACTATTTAGATGTTTAACTAAAATAAGTTGATCAATTTCTTTAAATGTAATGTTTTTTTGCAAGCTATACCAACTTTTACTATTTTCTTCTCATTTGTTATTTCATTTCACTTTTCTCACTATTTTACCATTATAATCCTAATCTATTCAAAATAAAAACAAAACAGTGGATTATAGGTAAAGAAATGTATAGGTGAAAGGTGTAAGATTTTAAATACTTACAGAGCTTGGGCCCACCCAGAAGTTCTGTTGTTGCACAAACTTAACGTTTTCATAAACTCCCTTATTTCTCAAAACCTCAAATAAAAACGACACACAAACAGAAAAGGGTGCTATATAAATAAAAACGTCAAATAGCCTATCACGATTCTTTCTAAAGAGTATGAAATGTACTTACAGAGTCCACGGTTTCATGTTGGCTGAAGCCGACGGGGGCGATATGGTAAATAGTGACGGCCAGGATGGTGATGAGCAAATGGACAAATGTAATCCAGTAAGTAAAAAAGGGCCTGAGGAGGAGAAGGCAAAAGGTTACAGGCTACATTTACAGGGATGTTTCACGAAGGTCGTAGATAAAGAGAGGAGTTGTACTTTTTACGTTTAAAAATGTGAAAAACTCAAAACAGCTACCTGTGATTATCCATGTCTTCAATCTGCCTCTTGACAAAGCTGTCAATACGCTTGCGGTATGTCCGGTTTGTGAGTCGACCGACCATGCCAAGCCCGTATGGCCTTTTTTCTCGAGTAAACAGCTTCTGAACCGGAACCACAATTCTTTGTCCCCGCTGGCGTTGGCCGGCACTCACCACCTCCTGTTTCAGACGTACTTTAGGCTGAACCAAAGTGCCATCTTTCGCCTTTCGCCATCCTCTCTCTAATGGCCTGGCGAGAAGAGGGGAAGGAAGGCAGAGGAAAAGTGAGTTGAAAAATCTGTTAGTCAGGGAAAATGATGTCCTAAAAAGATACTACAAATATTTTTTTTGCAATACAAATGTGCAAGGATTGGCTCTTGGTCATTTGGAAATTTAATCCACATAATTAAAACATAAACTCACAGCATGAGATGACTTCTCTCTAATTTATTCTTATCTAATGCGCTTCCCGTGAGCACACTCTCATCCAACTGTTTGATTTCAGCCTCTGATGGTGTCTCAAACACCTCATCAGCATAGCTGGACAACTCCTCTGGCAGGCCATCCTGCAGACATGAGAACTCTGTAAAGAAGACTTCTAAAAACCCAGCCAAACGGTGCTATTGATCCACACATCAGCAGTCAGGTCATAAGGAACAAGCATTTCAAACTGTTACTGTGACACTTGAATGGAAGATAGTTGATCTAATTCAATAATCGCAGCTTTGTGGAGTTACAGCTGATCAAAGCGCTGTCCTCAGTGCTGAAGTGTGTCTATTGCTCACTCTGGTGAAGAAGGAAGTGTCCAGCTCATCAGGGAAATCTACAGTGTCATCTTCAAAGATACTAGGAGGCACGAAACTCCGTCTGCGGCATTGCCCAGGAGTGCTCTCACCCAAAGTTCGGCCCTGGAAAATATACATGATCAGGAAATATGTTTATTGTCATCCATAGTGACATCTGTACAAGTTTATGCTTTCTCAACCCCAAAATAACCAAAAACAATAAGAAAAAGTATATATATATATATATATTTGAGAATAAAAATTTAAACAAATGTTATATTAGAAAGCTATATTTAGTGAAAAAGTAAATCTCTTCAGTGCACAAACAGTTTTGTGGGTTAAGTAAGAAGCATTTTGGAAAATTTAGTGACTTATAGACACGAAACATTGAATTTTTTATTGTCTTAACGTATGATTAAACTGTCATTTCTGCAGAGGTGAAAAAAGTATTTTCAAGGGTTTTTCTGATATTGGGCTTTGCTTTCCATTAACAAATGGCAAGTTGTGTGATGTTAAAAATAACTTGTGCTTACACCTATGGCCTCTCTGAAGCGTTGACAAGTGGCTAAAAAGGACAGTTCTGTATTACGGTGTATACAGTGTGGCGGAGGCCTGCATGTGTTAGTGGATTAGCTCCACTTCTCTGGAATACCCTGACCTCAATCCAGAATGTAGCTGAGCATTCGCTGTGTATTATCATGGACCATCTGCTACAAACCACTCCCCCAGTAACCCCCGCCTAGCAACAACAGCTTAACGCATGCTTTGCTTGTACAGTATTTCATCTGCAGTAACCGTAGTGAACGTCAATGGTGCTGTGTGTAACAATTTATCCATAGTTTAATCCCTAGAAAGACAAGCTGATCTGATGGTTTATATAAGATATCAGCACAAAAATGAACACGCACATTTTAACATGGATTAGAGAGTTTGTATGAGTCCATTTCCAGGAACAGATAATAAGTGGCTTTGGTACAATCGACTAAAGGGTTATAGGACGAGCAGAGGTGCATTTACGCTACACAGAGGAATCTGGGAAGTCAGTGGCTTAGAACGAGAGTTCAGAAGTGCATATTGCAAAAGCTCAAACGCAACTGAAATCAGGGGGGAAGATTTTTTTTGTTGTTGCTTTTATGTCATTAAAACATACAAAGAAGCACAACCACCTTCATCAGTGCTGCCGCGGCTCTGAGACTCATGACGGCGACAGAGTCCCGCTTCCGTCGTCTCGGCAGCCGGTTGAGGACAGAGCGAGAGCTGGAAAATGAGCAGAGGGACGCGGAGCCAGGTGTGAGTGGCGTTTGTGGGACGCTGAGCCCGTCCACCTCTTCCACCGCGCGGAAAGCTCGACCCCGAGCCAAGGGGTCTACAATCTGTGCACACAGACATAAACAGACATACAGTATATGCCTGCTCAGGATTTTTTCTTTTTTGAATGCAGATACAAACAACAGTAGACACCATAAAAGCAGAGGAAGCACACATTGAACCAGAGTTAGATTGACGTCAATGTTTTATAACAACATTGTGAACTTGGTACCTGTATTTACTCCCTGAAATGCATTCTGCTACAGGTATGAATCTGATTTAAATAAACCCAAATTAAATCAAATGGCTCTATGTTGCAACATTCTCACATTGTATGTTGCTACAGCACCTCTTAGCATCCGTTATTTAAGATGTCCCATTTAAGCTCCTCTATCTTCAACTACAACCAAGCATTCAAAAAATATCCAGCCCCCTAAGCTGATTGGTCACAAATGGTCATAAAGCATTTGAAATTTGCTTAACGAAGCTTTCACGAAATTTATGAACTGAAAGATTTTGAGCTTGTGGCTCATCCTAGTGCCCCAGAGCCCTCCTTAAGGTCACTTAACACCTTTGTTGGCATTTGTTGTCTTTTTAAATTGACAACATCATTATCAATGTAGTTTTAGAATTGCAGGCCTCACGGCAATGATGTAACACCCTTGGACCTGTAGAGGGAGCCAGAGAGCAAAGAATTGCATGCGGTTTACATATGGCGTTCCCATTGATGTCATCATTTGATGGGAGAAAATCACAGTTGACATCTTTAAAAAAATTATTTTGAGGTAAATATAAATGAAAGGTTTAGTCTTCACAGGAACGTCAATCTAACCCCAGGAAAAGGGGCGTTAGAGCCAAAGACAGGGAGAAAGAAGTGGGTAAAAGGCAAATGGCAATGTATTCTCCATCCTTCTGCCATGCCCCTGCTGGCCTACCCTCTGCATGGCATACTGATGGTGGTAACTCAGGTGGTGGGGTGGGAGATATAGGGGTGGAGGGGTCTCAGTGCTCGCCAGGGAAAGATTGTCTTGGCTGTGCAGCTCCATCTCCCTCATCACCTGTGGCTTCAGACCCCCGTATAGATGGCTGCAGTGCTGCAGGCTTCTCCTCCTCCATCTCTGGGTGCTGTCGTTGTCCTTGCTCACTCCGAACCAGTCAGCCGTACCCCTGGGGATGGGACAGACTTCAGTGAACTTTTTAAAAAATACATAATTTTTGTATGTACAGCTGAGTATTTCTCAGACTTACCATGGCATTTAATTAATTGTGTTTCTATATATATATATATATATATATATATATATATACAATATCGATCTTGAGTTCTTTTCTCACAAAGGGAACAGCTTTTGTGAGGAACAACAACGGTTGTTCAACTAAAAATAGGTACTTTTTTGTCCTACTAGGAATGACTGTGTGATACATATACTGTAGGTCTTAGAAGATCTTTGGATAATTTCCAAAGCACGTGGCCAGATGGAGTATCTGTATTAGCAGTGCCCTATGAACTGCTCGTAAAACATCTCAATGCTGCATTGATTTTTCTATATATTTCTATGGAAAAGGAGATATCAGAGATTGGTTGTGCTTGGTGACTCAGAACAGAGTTTCCAAAACAAAGGGTAAAAATATTGTGAACCATACAGACAGGTAATGGCAGAAGAAACAAAGCCACTGGTGTCACCTTTCAAAGATGTAAACTGTGAATCAGGGACAAATTCCTGAGATAAAATCTGTGCAAGTGGTTAAACTAGAGAATTTTGAAAGTTGGTCGTATTAACTGGTGTCCGTGTGAAGGTCCTGCTAAAGCCTTGTAAAGGAAGGAGCCACGGAGCAGTATTCCCACTGAAGTTTTATCTTTAGATGCCACTATAGACAGCAGTAGTTCTGGAAAAATATGATGTGAAATTCAAGATTAGATTTGGGTAATGAATTCCAATGATTGGATCTCCATACAAGCAGCACAAGATATTAGAGGTCATCTATTTTTCTCCTTCTCCTTCATCCATTTAAATCAGTATAATTTTGTTGATATGCATGTTTGATTACATGAAAAAAGTAAACCCAGCTTGTATCATGGCTGACATGCACTGTATGTTTCCTTCCACAACTTTCTGCTTTCTTTCCATCATGGTTGTGTTTTCACCTATCGGGAAGAGAAGGAGGCCGCACTCAGGGACACTTGTTTAGAGAGCAGAACGGTCAGTAATAAACACTCAGCCTTCATCATCAAGAAAAATGCCATCTGGAGAGGCCTTTTAAGGCTGAGCTGTGGCAGGGAGAGGGCGGCGCAAGCTTGATTGTTGCTCCTCAAGAGAGGAATGTTTTACAAAGAGGACACAGATTCAAGAAGGGAAAACTTAAACTGGGCTTCTTAAGCAAAAGAGGGAGAATTACATACTGTAAACAGTAAAGAAAGAGATAGAAATGAGAGAGAGAAGGAAGAAGCTTTTTATTTATAGCTGAAAATGCCTGACTGAGCAGATGATTGTTGTTTGTCTAGATTTGTGCACTTTCGGTCATACACAAATAATTTTGGGCCACAGCTAGTAACAATCGCACGCCAAAGATTAAAGCAACTTTGAGCTGTATCAGGGCTCCATATCCTCCAGGTAAGGCAGGTACACATGACGCAGGAATCTGATGTGCAGTAATTATTGGCTTGCACCGGGTAACATGGCCCAGGGGCACAACTTTGTACGATCTAAGCCAAAGCAGCAGCTGTACAGATGTAAAGAAAAAACACTCATAGATAAGACTAGAGAAGATTAGTAGTAAAACTCATCATTAGTGAATAAAACTTTAAAGGTCTAGCAGCTTTTCGTTTCACTAATTCAGACGTTCTTCTCATTGTTTTGTTTTAAAATCAAAAGAGGTTCAAGTGTATAAGCAGTACAAAGCCAAGGCCAATCGCTTTTTGTTATTTTTCTATGCTAATAAGTTTACAAAAATTTGCATTGTTAATGTTTCATCTGCTTGCTCAGTGATCACAATATGCTAATTTATTCATTTTTCACTCTTCTCTGACAGATCTTCCCTCTGTTTAATTGGAAATGTGTCAGAAATGGAAGATGTGCATCTTTCCATAGGGAAAACTGCTAAAAGTCTTTAAAGATATGCTAAAGTTAAATTAGATGTTTCCCAAAAGTCAAGTGAAATCATGTGTACAATTCCCAGCCCCCCCAAAGTTTTTTTTTGCTCTGTCACACTCACCCATTCTGAGAGTTCCAGGAGGGGTTCAGGGTGTGGATCATGCCTGACTGGATGGGGCTACAGAGTCATGTCGCCTTCATCAGCATCAATGGTGACCTTACTTAAACCTGAGTGCGTTAAGCCCTGACCTGCTGGTTGAAAACTGATCCCTTACAAATTAAACATACCGAGTTCCATAAGGGGATTTCCTGATATCCAGGCCAGCAGTACCTTGCTCTTATACACACAGAGAGAGAAGGATCAACACATGTCCACAGCCCTGTCCTGCTTAGGGAGGTCTTGGTGAATCAAAAGTTGAAAAGCCGACACTGATCTTCCTAGTCAGGAAGGGATCGGAGCGTCATGGCGAACATCCTGATGTAAAATAAGCGTTTTCTTCCAGCTGGACCTGCTCACTGCACTGAGCGGGGAGGATCATTTCCTGAGCTTGTCACTAGCACACAACAGAAATTCCCCCACGGCTGTTCATGTGTGGGAGACTTTTTGAAAAGTGTCAGCTGCTGGCATGTTTCCAAGTGTCTCTCCTCGAGAGTTCGGGCAAAAGAGGATAGATGTCTCCTGATGGGTGAGGAAGACTGAAGGTCTGGTCCTTGTCAAACTGAATACCGCCCCCTCTCTTAATATAGAGAACCAACGATCATTATCAATGAGTCTGTCTCTCTGTTTCGGCACCCTTGTTTAGCTGCATTGTGTGGGCAGGCTGTAGGAAAGATGGGGTTTAGAAGGAGAGGAAAGATCGCCATGGTAGTTAGGAGGGTGGAGAGCTAGAGGAAAGTGCCTGGACATGCCTGAACATGACACATGTGCACACACAAATATTCACACGAACATAAAGAAAGTCACATACACACAGAAGCTTACTCAATCCCATTCATTTAGCCACAAGCATCCTGCATAGTCACACGTTCGCTTTTCTTTGAGTCTCCAGGTCCCTGTTGCTGCTCCCTACCTAAACATTTACATTCACTTTAACGCTATTCAGGAAGCTGCTTTGATGTTGCCTGTGGCACATCGCACACCATGTGTTTGAGTAATCATGTTATTTTGTCTATCTAAGACCCTGGAGTCACGCATGTCACCTACATGGAAACACTTACATGCCTTCTTTATGTGTCAAAAGAAACAACTAAGTCTGCCGAGCTAAAAGTTTTCCGTGCAAGAAAAAAAATATGAATAAAATTATACATATATATATAAAAAAATATTAAAAAAAATAAAAAAAATAAAATATATATATGTATAGAAAATTATGGCCTAGCAGTACTACGTAGCAACTGAACCTCAGTGTTGATAAGTCTATCAGGCATTTAACCTTTATGATCACAGAAACAATGAATGATAATGGTGGTTTGTTGCTACTGAGCTTTTAAAATGAGCGGGGTTTTCAACACGGAGTCGCTATCTTATCATGTGATTCTCTGGCAAATCAGCATCCAGTAGTCTGCCATCATCCCTAATCATCCCTGATGGAACCCAAACGGAGTAGGTGCTAAAGTTGTAACAGTTTAGTGGGGCCAGTCTCTGGTGGAAATCAAAAATACAGTGGAGAGTCAAGCCATGCCATGCTGAGTAGAACTAGTGGAAAAGCGCCATTAGTTGGGATACAAAAAAGTCCTATCATTAAACAAGTAAATATTTTGTCTTTGTTTATATATGCTTCTACTGTGATGAACGCTTTGCTTTCGTGGCAAGTGGCCCACATCAGTCCACTTAGAGGTAAAAGAAGTTCAACTGTCCGCCTGTTCTGTACCTGATGATCTGTTTGGGTATAGAAGAACGCCGTCTGGACAGGATTTTGGGGACACAGGACCGCCTTCGGGAGGTTGACACCCTTCTTAGGCCCCTCTGGCCCTTCGGGGGAACTGTATTTACACGGTCAAAGTGGACCCTTTTTTCACTACACACACATATCAGGATAAGAGGCGAACACAGGGTGGAAAAGGTGGTATTAAATAAGGCAAAACCAACAGAAAGGGACAACAAGAGAGAAAAAAAGCAAGATTAATTAGCGTGAAATCAGAAAGTCGGTTACACGATTAAACAGCTTTTGTTCAGGATTTAAAGGTGAAATTAGCAGCAGAAAATCAGCTAAAAGAAAATGAAGCGAAGCCCTGCATGAAACCATGTCTCAGCGTGTGTGCCACTCACTTCTTGATGGACTCAGTGAAAGAGGGCAGTCTCTCCAGAGGAGGTTTGAGGTAGTTGTTGGAACTTTCCAAGGCAGCTATACATGTATGCGGATTTTCCCCAGGCATGCTGACACTGCGCACACGCTTTGCCGGCTAAAACATACACACGCACAGACAGACATAATCAGGATCAGTTAAAGCCTTTACCTTTCTGAGCTGACAGTCGTAAAAGTTTCTTACCTGGGTGAGAGTTGGCGTGTCATCTGGCGTCAGCTGGATAGTTGGGATGTCCAGTTTGAGCCATGGCGGCTTCTTCCTCTGGAGGCTGCTGTTCCTGCTGCCCGTCTCATCCATGCTCATTATCTCCCTCTAAGCCTGCCAGCTGGACCAAACAAAGCAGAAAAAAGGGGTTGTAGGATGGTTAACACACACAAACAAATGACGACAAACATTTCTCAGCAGCCCAAAAAAGCAAAAAAAGTGACTGGATTTGTTGTGTAACAGCAGACGTTGGGCAGAGTGGGCATATGTTCGGCGCTAATCCAGTATCCCTGTGGCGTGCGTTCAGCACATGAAAAGTGAAGGCAGACACCTGGATAAAATCCAGATGTTTTAGCTGGTTAACCAGAAAAGAAAAGCATCTTCTCAAAAAAAGAAAAAAAAAATCCATCACACGCCGCAGTGAATAGTTACTAAAGAAAAGGCCTTAAAGAATCTTTGTGAGTGTATAAGGATTTTTTTGTTGTGGTTTGTTTAATTGTAAATGAGCAAACTGGCCAGTAGTTTTCTCAGTTTCCTCCACCAGTGACAGGTTTCATCAGTTTTAAAAACATACTTTTAGATCTGGGCAGCTCTTGAACTCTCTAGGTACAGTACTATCTCATAAACACTGTGCGCTAATCAACTGTAACACAGGAGCATGACAATATCTTCACCCAGGTTCAACTAGGAATGACCCTAAAGGGCTTTACAGCAGCTATGCGTCAGATGGTAATAAGTTTCTTGTACGTTCCTGTGGGTAATGGGGTCAAGTTTTACTCTCACAAAGACCTGTGGAGTCAGTGATAAGTGACAGGTAGGCTTGGGGATGTCACCGGACACAGAGATTAGAGTGAAAGGCCTACCCTTGACCTTTTTTGGTAAATAACTTTTAAAAAAACACTTGGAAATTTAATATATATATACAATCTCCTCATGTCACATTACTAGCAAAACAACTGGTTGAAAGTGGAAGATGGGATTGATTGAAAGTTGAAGATGGGATTGATTTTGTAACGAAAAGGTCCAAGCATCAGACATCTTTGACTTTAGTTTCACTCTATCTTAATTCAGATCTTTCCCTCTTTATAAAAGCTAAGGAACCAGCAACACAACCCACAACCTACTATACATGTTTTTTGAGCCTGCATGAATAAAAGTGGGCTATTTCATGATCTGTCACACCTATAGACAAATTTCAGCCCACATACATACGAGATGCCTAAACAGCTCTCCCCCTCAGTTATTCAAAAGGTTTAACCTTTCTACCCCAACCTCTAAATCTAAGAAAACAAACCGATAAGGTTATAGAAAATAATCCTCATGCCTTCAATGTTCTGTTCATGAGTTAACATTTAATTCAACAGACGTCAGACAAGTAGACTTACACTGCTGTATGTTTTGTCCCAATAAGATACATTTGAATGAAAATAGCAAACTAGTAACATACTTTTCTGTTCTTTTACATGGATGTAAAACTGCTAAGTCCTGGATCTTACACCTTTTCAGAGAGTACGGTTACTTTCGCTATGCTATTTCCTAGATAGATAGATAGATAGATAGATAGATAGATAGATAGATAGATAG